AAGAACATGTGTATGTATGTGTGTGTATTTATATACATATACACATATTGGAGAGAGAAATTTTAAAGAGCTGGCTCATACAATTGTGGAAGCTTGGTAAGTCCAAAATCTGATGAGGTAGGCTGGATACTCAGGGGAGAGTTGTAGTTCAAATCCAAAAGCAGTCTACTGGCAGAATTCCTTCCTCTGTGGGGGAGGTCAGCCTTTGGTCTCTTAAGGCCTTCAACTGATTGGATGAGGCGTGCCCACATTATGAAAGTCAGTCTCTTTTACTCAAAGTCCATTCATGTAAAAGTTAATCTCATCCATAAAAGCCTTATGGAAATGGACAGAATAATGTCCAACCAAAAATCTAGGCACCATGGCTGAACCAAGTTGACATATAATTAACTATCACACGTACTTTTTCACACTCTGCCTCTGGCAATTTGTCAAAGTTACCATTTAAGTATTCTTTAAGTGGTCTTCCCTTCAGACTTTATTATTCTCTATTATACTTATAATATAAACCAGGTTATAGAATTAGAAAAACCTCAGGGTGCCTCGGTGGCTCAGTTGGTTAAGTCTCAGACTCTTGGTTTCAGCCCAGGTCAAGATCTCGCAGTTGTGAGATAGAGCCCTGCATGGGGCTCCACACTCAGGGCAGAGTCTGCTTCAGATTCTCTCTTCCTCTCCTTCCCACTCTCTCTCTCTCAAAGAAAGAAAGGCACGCCACCCACACCTGGCCCTCCGTTCTGCAGAAAAGCTACGTGCCTCTCGGAGGCTGGGGATCCTTCTGGAACAAGGGCCTGGACTCACGCGCAATTCTCTGCTTCACGAATCCTTTTCTGAAAGTTAATATTGAGCATGCATAGTGGATGAAAGCTAGTTTTACCTATTTCACAGTTTGAGTCTTAGCGGGTGTGAAGAGTGAGTGGTCATATCCAAGTGACCGGGGGGAGCAGGGGGCCCAGCCTGATCTCAGCAGAGCCCAGCAAACCCATACCCTGGGCTATCCACCTACCTAACAAAACCCGGGGGACGCGACTGCATCCTGATCTCAAAGACTAGAATGTTTGCGGACAGGCGGGTGACACAGTGGGATCTCAGGCCAGACAGCACTGCCTTCCCAAAGGAAGAAAAACCAACCCTGGTTAGCTTTAACTCCACTCCCAATTTCTCCAGCGGCTTAAAGCCAGTTTTAGGCTCACCTATATGAGCATGGTTTAAACAAGACGTGCAAATACCCAACATACTTGAATGTCTCATCTCTATTGCTTAAGAAATATCTATTTTTATCTTTAGTTTTTAAATTCACGATCATGGCATATTAAGAAAGTATTGTGGGCCACGTGTCTAAATCCTATGAGATCCCTTAGAAATTAAACTTGTGTAAAAAAAATTTACCATTTAAGTATTCTTTAAGTGGTCTTCCCTTCAGACTTTATTATTCTCTATTACACTTATAATATAAACCAGGTTATAGAATTAGTAAAACCTCAGGGCGCCTTGGTGGCTCAGTTGGTGAAGTCTCAGACTCTTGGTTTCAGCCCAGGTCAGGATCTTGCAGTCGTGAGATAGAGCCCTGCATGGGGCTCCACACTCAGGACAGAGTCTGCTTCAGATTCTCTCTTCCTCTCCCTCCCACTCTCTCTCTCTCAAAGGAAGGAAGGAAGGAAGGAAGGGAGGGAGGGAGGGAGGGAGGGAGGGAGGAAGGAAGGAAGGAGGAAAGGAAAGAAAGAAGAAAGAATGAGAAAAACCTCAATTCAAAGTTAGCCCTTCAACTTCCTATCCTTTTGTCTTTAAGCAAGTCTACCTAAATTTTCTCTATGTTATCAATTAAGAAATTAAAGCCATTAAGGCTAACTGATTTGTCCAGGGTGCTAATGCATATTAGAACTAATGATCAAATTCTATTTGAATTCTTGTCTTGCACACAATTCACTATAAATAATGTATTGAATTTTGATAGCAATAAAATACACCTTATGGGTATTTTAACTATATATGAGAATTTCATGTGTTTGAGAATGACAGGTGTATATTTTATTTAAACACTATGTAATTAGTGAGATTGCTGCCTTTTAGTTCTGGATATGTTTTAGACTAACCACTTTTGTCCTTAAATTTTTCAGTTTGCAAGCATGAGTAGATGCCTTTTATTTCTTTGTCCCAGGGGTAGTCTAAGTAAGATGTCAATCACATGCACAAGGTGTAGTGATCATTGATGAAAGGAATTTAAAAAGAAAAAAGGATTTTATTTATTTATCTGCCAGACAGAGAGGGAGAGTACAAGCAGGGGAAGGGGCAGGCAGAGGGAGAAGCAGGCTTCTTGCTAAGGAAGGAGCCTGATGTGGGACTCAATCCCGGGACCCTGAGATCATGACCTGAGCCGAAGGCAAACGCTTAACCATCTGAGCCACCCAGGTGCCCCAGTGAAAGGAATCTTAAGAGAACATTTAACTTAGTGCCAGTTTCAGGGAAGGAAAGCCCACAGCTTCTTTTAATAATGTTTATTTTATTAATGACTTTTGCTGAAAGAAAAATGTTTCTTCGTGGAAGTTCTGAGAAAGTTTCCTCTGGACTATATTATTTCGGAACACCCTCAAAAAAACAAGTAGATATTAGCTGAAAAATAGGTATAGCTGAAAGTTTGAGCCTAATTTTCATATAGGAGAGTAATCTAATGGCTTGGGATGGAGGTTTTGATTTCATTTGCATTGTAGGAGGCAGTATAATGTAAATCAGGTTAGATCTGAGTTTCGATTCCAGCTCTGCCACTTAATAATGTATGACTTTGGCCAAGTTATTTAATTTTTTGGATTTCACTACCTCCTATTTCTTAAGGTTATTAAAGGCTTAAGTGATACCCATGTAAAGAGGACCTAACACAGTCCTAGATACCTTACAGGAACTCAGCAAATATTGGTGTCATCCATTTTTTCTGTATTTACATGTTGGCAAATGGGAATGTTGATAAGGAACAAGAGGGGAATCATTTTTCCTTGCCCCAGGAATGTATTTCCTGGCACTAATGAGAATGATACATCTCTTCAAATGCTCGTTTTACTGGTAGTTAATAGCTTATAATAAAGTGTGGTGTTTTTTTTTTTTTTTTGCCTCTTTGCTTTTATATAGTTTGACCTTTGAAAGAAAGACTATACCAGGACTCTTATAAGAGATATGTATATGTATTGAATATATATAAAATGTCACAAAATATAGTCTTAAAATTTGAAGGCAATAACCAGGAAGATCATCTGGTCCTTTGTGTTTCTTGGGGCAGCATTCCCTTTCATGAACTTCTTGATCTAGATGTGTATCAATGCTCTGCATGAACAGTTTCAGTAATTGTGGTCTTACTTCCTCTAAAGGCAGTCATTCTGATTTTAGAATGCTCCATTAATTAGAACAGTCTTCCCTATTTTGTCCTTTACTCTGTCTCCTAATAATTCTGCCCTTGCTCCTTTTTATTACCTGTAGAACTTCATAGAATAAACAACTTTGTTCTGCAGGTATACGGGAACCATATCTTAGTCATTTTTTTTTTATCTCATAGGATAGTAAGTACCCAACTCAAAATAGGGATTTATTTAATGAATAAATAAGGTTCAGATTTTTTAAGGTACTTTTATGTATTTTTTCATATGTAAACTTTAAAATTTAGTCAATGTTTTTTATTACTCTTGGTCAAAAATTAATTTTTTCAACTGTATTGACAAAATTAAACAAGGAATATTGATTTATGCTTATGTGTGATATCACTTATATAATCCAGAAGTGAATAGCTTTTTCCAAGGAAAGAATTAAAAATTAAATATTATTTACATCTCTTTCATTCAGCACTTCTTGTAGCATAATCTGTCTGAAGGTTGAAAGCATATTAGATTTTTTAAAATTTCTTACACTCTGTTTTGTAGTGTCTTTTGCACTCATTACAGACAATTATATTGTCTGTAATGTTAATGCTCCACTTCACTGACTCATCAGACTGGACAAAAATAACCAACATCCAGCTATATGATATTTAAGATCTAAAACCTAATAATAAGGAAAGATGGAAAATAGAAGGACAGAGGCCATCCAAACACTAACTAAGAAAGCTATTGTAGTTATAGTAACAGCAAATCAAAAAGAGTTAAGGGAAAAAAAACATTAATAGAAATTAATGGAGTTACTTCATAATTTAAAGGGTTAGGTTTCGCCTAGAAGCTATAACAATTCTAAATATATATTCACATTTTCTGTGATTTTTAGACTTGCTCTATATTTTATTGCTTCCATTTTGTAACTGAATTCTCTCTTCCCAATTTCATGCCATCAGCAAATTTTTTTAGAAACATTTTTCTTTATAATCTTTGTTCAGCAGATTTCTCACATAAAGTGAATGACTCCCTTATTAATACTAATCCTTATAGCAACCTGTTTGTGCTTACTAGCTTCTTTTGTTATCTAGTTGTCTTTATGTCTTTTCCTGTCCCACTAAGGAACAGGGTTTTGGCTAGTTGTCGTGAAAGATATTTGATACTCAATTATACAGAATTACCATGCATAAGAACATAGTTGCAGTGGATGATATAGTTTACAATCTATCTCTTTAGAATTCTATTTCTTATGTCCTGGAATGTGTCTGTAGAAGTTAAGAACTGGCTGCCCCTAAGAGGAGTAGCCATGTATTTCGATACCAACTACCTTGCCTTTCATATTTGCTTCTTGTGGCTTCTTGTTGCATTTTGGCTTATGAATAATAGGTACATGTTAGAATGCTTACATTTGCATAAGTTTCCCAGGTACTTATTCTTCAGAGTACAGGAACAATCTTTTAGGAGTTCACATAACAATGTGTAAGGTATTACTATATATCTTACTACATACAGTCTCCATTCCTATTCATTTATTGATGCAGGAAACATCTACCAGGTGTCTCATCTTTGATAAGCCTTATTAGAAAAATTTCCCAAAGAAACAGAGGCATTATTTTAATTATAAAATGAATTAATGGAAATCTTTAAATTTTTCAGAATGAGAGAGACCCAGAGAAAGAAGATGAACTGGAACTGAAAAGAGGTCTTTTATACAGAGACTCTGCCTATGACAGTGACCCAGAGTATAGGTATGAGCTAGATTAATGCAGCGTGTTGAGATCTTTCTCACAGTTGGCATAAATGTAACCTGCTTTTTAATCTGCTGGATTTGTGGGAAATTTAGACTCAAATTAATAATTAGTTATTAATAGGTTTTATTTTTAACTATATAAAATCCTATTAAAATACTTGAATGATTGCATTACTGCAACTTTTCACTGAAAACAAATATAGTCAATTAAGGGTGATACTTTTCATTTTACTTAAGATTTAGAGTGTATTTGGCTGTCCTGCCAGTCCACATATCCAGGGCTTATTTTCAGGCATATTTATTCTCATTCAAACAACAGTTTCCATAATTTTAGACCATGAGTAAGCTTTTTTTTAATAACATAAAACTGTTCTTCTAGCCTAACATTTCAGAAATGTTAGTAATAACAAAAATTTTTGCAAGATTATGCTAGCAAATGTCATGAAGATTTTTAAAAGGTCTATGTCAGTTGCCATAGAATGTGGTATTAAAAGTAATATAAATTGTGAGTTTATGTAACTGACAGTTCTCTGAATCCTTTGGTGCTTATTACTACATGGCTTCCACTTTCCTGGGTATCCTGAAAAACAAGTATAAGAAAAAAGCTCCAGATAATGGAATATGTTTTATTGCTAACTTGAGTTTTAGACTGAATTTTCTGATCTTTACCTGGTAAGTTAGGCTAGATATTCTGTGAACATGTGAGGACTTCTTTTGTCCCTTACACAGAGTATAAATGTGAACTCCTTTCCCAAAGCTACTGCTTCCCAACCAACAGGCAACCTGGGCCTCCCATCAAGGGAAATAGCATATTACAGGTGAGTTTGAAGAAGCAATCCGAACAGGAAAAAGGAGATCCAAGAAAGTCCACACCCTGAGGAAGAAGACTTTTTACCTTTGTTATTATTATTTACTTAAAGCTCTGTTCTCCAGATTGCTACTATATGGATTAACATCTCAATTTTGGTTCTTAATCCATGTAATTGATTCTAATATGGCTAAGAATGGATAGGGTTGATAAAGGAAAGTGTCTGATTTTCAACTTTTGTATGCATAATAATTACCTGGGTTGCATCTTAAAAATAAGAGTTCTTCTTCCTACCCCCTTAGATTCTAAATCTTTACCTAGAAGGTGAGACCTAGAAATCTGCATTTTAAGAAATATCCTGGATGCTTCTAATGCAGCTAGTGTAAGGACCATATTTTGAAAAGCACTGGTCTGTATTTAAAGTTTGCTGTAAACCTCAATATTGGTTCTTTTTCCAGTTCACCAAGCAATGTTAATGGCTTACCTGGGACTATTTTGGTACCCCTCAAGTAAGAGTTAAGCAGAGTATCAGAAAAGTTCTGCTTATACATTTTTTTGAGATTTCTTTATATTCCTTGCCACTTCTCTTATATATACATTTAGACTGATAGGACCGAGTGGTCAGAACTTCAAGACCTTTTATAAGAGTATATTTGATATTAGCTCCAGAAGCTACTGGGATGATCAGGATATTATTTTAGTTTTATCCCTAAGTCACATTAAATATTAGGACAAGGAGTCACTCTCGTTCTACTTTCCATCTCAAAGATGAGACAACCTATGCGTGAAGGCTTCCATCAGCAGAAATCAAGAGGAGGTTTGGGGTCTTGGCTTAATATCACCCCTCTCAGACACACATTGATACAGAGGTCCTGAGGAAGTCTGCATGGACCCCTGGAATGGCTAGTGAGGAGCTCAGCAAATCCTCTTCCCCAAAGCAACAACTAGACAGAACTGTCAAAAACACCAATTTTAAGACTCTAGAAATTGACCAAAGGCATATAACAAATCGAGAAGCATTTATCGAGAAAATCTACTGAGCCTCAATAAGGGCAGTGGGAATCTGTGGTATTTTGCCCGGAACTCCCAGTGCCCAGCTTCTTAGGGCAGTCATGCTGAGAGAACGGCAGCTCGGCTGCCGGAGGAGACTGGCGATATGGAGCAGAGCATGGGAAATCCTATGTACATGGAGATTAGTTGAAATAATAATGATCCCACTGGCAACCAATAAGAGAAGGCTTGAGGTCTAACTACTTGTTGGGACAGATAACAAAGATCCAGGGTCCAGGTAGCCAAAGTTGGTCTTGATAAAGTTGTACTTACCCCTAGTAGTCTGGAACATTATGTGTATGTGTAAGGTTGTAAATATGTTCAGGAAAAACTGGAGAGGCCCTTAGGGAGCCACTAGTCCATGGCTGAATGTGAGGCTTTGTGAAGGCAGAAAGTAATACCCAGGGCAGGCTTGCAAACTGGATAAACTTTGATTGTATATTCCAAGTCACACATAGATCCATTGGCAAAAGATGGAAGAAGCCTTCCTGACCAATCATTTGCTGGTCACTAACCTATGCTGACCCAGGGGCAGCCCCTATGATTCCGACTTAAAAGTAGAAACAATAATTTTTTTAAAAAAAGAAAAGGAACAGGAGACATCAGAAACTATAAAGGACAAGGGAAGCAGACTTCAGGCATTAGTGCAGGCAGGACACTAAACAATAATCAAAAACAAAACCCTGGTAAGGTCAAAATCAAGAGTTGTTGCATTTTTTATCTAGAATATTGTTTTCAACAAAAACTTATGAGACACACAAGAAATAGGAAAATCTAACCCATAGAATTGAAGAATGAATTACTATTTATTATACTCCCAATACTGGGAGGCCCAGATATTGGATTTAGCAGCTGTGTTCAAAGAACTAAAGGAAATCCTGTTTAAAGAATTAAAAGCATATATAATGGCAGTGACTCATCAAATAGAGAATATCGATAAAGAGATAAAAATTATTGGGGCACCTGGGTGGCTCAGTCGTTAAGCATCTGCCTTCAGCTCAGGTCATGATCCCAGGGTTCTGGGATCGAGCCCTGCATCGGGCTCCCTGCTCGGCAGGAAGCCTGCTTCTCCCTCTCCCACTCCCCTTGCTTGTGTTCCCTCTCTCGCTGTGTCTCTGTCAAATAAATAAAATCTCTAAAAAAAAAAAGATAAAAATTATTTCTTTCATGCTTTGCTTCAAAATTATGCCTAGGATTCAATACTTGATCTTATGATCTAAATGTGCACTGTGATTATCATTCATGGAGTGTAGCAGAGAGTCTGTGCTTTCTGCAGGAAGAGCAGAATGGGAAATTGGAGTGCCTGTTACTGTACACGGCACCCTATGCACACTAGCTGTCCTAGGTCTTCTGTCCTCTGTGAATATAAAATTCATTTGGAAGAAATCTCTTATCAAGTAGTTGTTAAGTGAACTTTTACTTCAAGTGCTTTGGGATCTGGAGCTGGAGTTTGGGAAGAATCTATTACCCATGCCGACCTCCCTCTCTCTTACATGTTGCCTATCTTTTAGGAAATTTTAGACCTTTGCAGTGGTAGCCTTGCCAGTGCCCAGGGTCCTGGTGGGCTTTTTAGTGCCTGCTCTGTATAGTTCAGATTTCTTCAGTTTTCAGGATGTTTAAATTTCTCCATATAGTTCTGTACTTCTGGCATAACTATCTTATTTGAACATTGGTCCTAATTAAAGACCAGGCATGAGTGATGCTTCATATAGATGGGAGTTGGTCACAAAAAGAGAGAAGTAAGGATAAAACTAATTTTAAGTTCATCATTAGAATGTGAATTGACCTTTTGTGACTATTGCCTAAAATTTTTAACCATATTCTTTTATGGAACTAACTAATGATATAAACTGTTTACTATTACACTGAATATTTTTCAGGTTACTAACAGTAGAAATATGCTCAATATAATGTTTTATTGTGAAATTATTTGTAACAGAACTGAGTAAAATTTTGACTATATATTTTTTTGTTTTTATAGATTCCAGTATAGTCAATATACAGTGTTATCTTAGTTTCAGGTGTACAATATAGTGATTCGGTAATTCCGTGCTTCACCTGGTTCTCATCACCAGTGCACTCCTTCATCCCCATCACCTACTTCACCCATCCTCCCACCCCTTCCCCTCTGGTACCCAGCAGCTGAATATTTTTGAATAACACAGGCTTGACTGTAGTTTTCATCTCTTCCCTACTGATCACTATCTGATTAATCTGATGAATCTACTAAGATGTAATAAATAGCCAAAAGGTTGTCTTTAATATTAACAAGTGGAAGAAAAAAAATCTAAATAATATACAGACTTAAAATCTCTTAAATAACTAAGAATAAGCTTTCATTTTTAAGTGAGAAAAATATTACTTGATTCTAATTTGAATTCATTGGATCTTGTGTTATTAACTCAAGTATCTTAATATCCTTTTTCATTAAATACTTAAGATTTAATTTTTTTAAATAAATTTTGTCTAGAAGGTATATTGATATTCAGAAATATTGGGGTGCTGCATATTTATGTGATTTTTCAAAGTGTTGTAAAAATTGTGGCTTAGGGGTCTAGAAAAGTCTCTGATGATTACGACAGGGCAGTGTTGTATTCATTTTTTAAAACAAAAATATGACCTTGGTAATTAGACTTAATATTGACACCAGGGCATGTCCAGTGTTCCAACTTGTTGTCCGCTTAAAAAATACTACTAAGCAACCAGAATGGTTTTAGGACTACCAAGTCTTGCAGACTAATTTAATTTTTTAAATAGATCATGAGAAAGTAATACATTAAATATAACGTTCAGTAAGAATTGTGATTTTATGACATTCTCATAAACAAGTAGGTGATTATGGTCTGAACTAGTGTTAGGTGGACTGCTGATTGGATGATGACATGGAAGAGACTATTACAGCAATCCCAAGTTAGATTCGAGAGCCATAATAAGTAGGAGTTCATGATGATATGCTTGAACTATAGTTGTGTAAGCTTTAGTGATAACTGCATTTAGGAATAAAAAAAATATGTTTCTTATTTTATTTAACCAGGGTAAAACATGCAAATACTCCTAAAGTATCACAGCTGTGCTCTATATTAGATCAGTTTTATGTCTAGTTCTCTTTACTCAAAGTATGGGAGGGAAGTCAGAAAAAA